GGGATTCGAACCCGCCACCTTAGGTGTACGTGGCTGGTGCCTTAGCCGGTTGAGCTATAGGCGCCAAGCCTACAGTCGTGTGTTTTGAAAACAGAAAGTCAGCGGGCGCAGTGGCTCAAGCCTATAATCCTAGCACTCTGGGAGGCCAAGCAGGGAGGGTTGCCTGAGCTCAGGAGTTTGAGACCAGCCTAAGCCAGAGCGAGACCTCATCACTTAAAAAAACCAGGCATTGTGGCTGGCACCTGTAGTCGCAGCTACTTGGGAGACTGAGGCAAGAGAATTACTTAAGCCCAAGAGTTTGAGGTTGCTGTGAGCTGTGATGCCACGACACTCTACCAGGGGCGACAAAGGGAGACTCTGTCTCAAAAAAAAAAAGAAAACTGAAAGTCAATTTTTAACAAAAACATGGTCAAACATAAGAACAGTGGAATCTGCTCTGTTCCTTGATAACAGGCAAGTAGGAGGCGCCCATAGGTCTTAAGAAAAAGTGATGAAAAGAGTAAAAGGTTTTCCAATTAAGAAAATTCTTTCCATTAATTCAGACTTCCCTATAATTTGAAAAAGAAAGTGGTAATTCAATTTTCTTGTTGAAGCAGTTTGGTTCAGCCCCTGGAACACCAGAGTTCTGCAGGGTCTTTGAGAATCACTCTTTCAAGTAAATTTGTCCTACAGGATTGGGGCTCCCAGCATAAGCATTGCCGGGCTGCGCACAGTGCCACAAACAGCTCCCTATAGTACGTATCAGAGTCAACTTGTAGGATCCTTGGATTTGTTCTGGTCTCTTTCTTTCTTTCTTTCTTTCTTTTTTATCTTTTGAGACAGTTTCACTTTGCCACCTTTGGTAGAGTGCCATGGCATCATACCTCACAGCAAGCTCAAACTCTTGGGCTCAAGCGATTCTCTTGTCTCAGCCTCGCAAGTAGCTGAGATTACAGGCGCCCGACACAACATCCAGTTATTTTTAGAGGCGGGGTCTCACTTTTGCTCAGGATGGTCTCGAACTCCTGAGCTCAGGCAGTCCACCCACTATGGCCTCCCAGAGTGCTAGGATTACAGGTGTGAGGCACCGTGCCTGGCCGGCCACGCTCTCTCTCTTAATCAAGCATCTACCGTGGGTTTGGGCTTGGGTTTGAGGGATATTGAAAGAGTATGGTAGGAAAGGAGGCAGGGCTGCCATCAATCTATTCTTGGACCAAAGAACCCCAAGGCCTCAAAGGGATTGTTGACAATGGCCTTAGAGCCGTCTGCTCCTTGACAGGTCATCAGCAGCCTCAGGTGGGCCAGCCCTGTGTCCTCCCTCCCTCTCCAGGAAAGCAGGAGAGGCTTCCTTCCCATCTGCAAGTCATGCTTTTAAAAAATGCTTAATCGGGGTTTTCTGTGGGACATCTCTATATTCTTAGGATTTCAACCCCTCTCCAACCTGCCTGAGAACCACAGGATGTTCTGGAAGGCCCTCCAAGAGCATCTGGTGCACCGATGGAAACAGGTGGACACTCCTACTTTAGCTGGTAAGGTGTCTAAAGCGCGAGAGAATTGCAGTGCTGCGTCTAGGCTCTCTGAGACCGGATGCACAAAAGATCAGTGGTTCCCGCCAGTCCTGCCATCAGTAAGTCCAAACCCTTCTTTTACAGAGGAGCAAATTGGTCTCAAGGGGAGGTGATGTTTCCCAATGATAGTTGGGTTAGTGGTAAGAACCTGGGTTTCTGGCTTCCCAGAAGCCTCTAGTTTACCTCAACTGCTAGTTGACACTAATATTCCCTGAGAAAAGAAAAACCATCACTCTGCCTTCACCAAAGGAGAGATGGACGTGTGCCTGGTCACATTGGAAGTTACCTCACTAACTCTACTCCAAGTAGGGTTTGTCAGCCAGCAGCAAAATAAACAACCTTTTTGGAAGCCATTGTAACCCTAGAACCAGCCCAATCTGATTGAACTTTGTGTAATAAAATGGTGAGTTGTCTTTTGGTGATCATGGCCCCCCGGGTTGCAAATTAAATGGCATGAGTGTGCCCAGTTGAAGCCAGCAAGCAACCAGGCGCAGAACCTGATTGCTCAGACCAAAAAGGTGGGGGCCAAATGAAGAAGCAGATGCTTCACAGCATGATCTGATTCAATCAGATGGAGCCCTGGCACCCCCCTCACGGCATGGCCCAGTCAGATCATGCCATGTGGCATTACCTCATCATAAGATCCAATCAGATCACACCTCATTCCTCAGCCTATAAAACCTGCCCTAGCTCCGGGAGAGAGAGTTTAGCCTGACTCCCAACTCCTGGCTCAGTAGCCTTGCAATACACTTTTCTGTCTGCAAAAACCCAGTGTCTGGGTGTTCGGCTTTCTCTTGTGCGTGAGCAAAAGCGACCCACTTCAGTTTGGTGACACTATCAGTGGGAGCTATGGAGAGAAGTCTAGAGAGTGGAAATGGAAGAAAGAAATGGAGAGAGAGGCTAGGCCAGGGGCACCATAAGTAGAATGGCTGTGCCTATGCCTGAGAGGGCAGGCAACTCTCATTTGCATGACGGACGAAAATGTTACCATTTAGGAGTTTGGTTGCTATGAATCGAGAAAGCGCTGCAACTCATTTACAGGACCTAGTGGACACTGGAAAGAGTTCATAGCTAAGGCTGGGCAGCAGAATCTATTGTTGCAGCTGAGCTCCACAGGAAGGGAGGCAAATCTCAGGAGCTTGGATTGCAGGGCAAGGCCTAGACACTCATGGCTTGGGGAAAGGGGGGATAAAGGGCAGGGAAGGAGTGTTTCTGGACAGGGGTCAGAGGGTGCAAAATCTGCTTCTAGGATTGTGTCACCCAAAAGGCCATGTGCCTGGGCACTCATCAATGTGCTTACCAAAGGTTTTTAATTTCATTACTAAGAGTTGTTTTTTTATCAGGATGCATCAATTTCCCCCCTTTTTGCACATCTGCAGTTGTAAATGGAGGTAAATGAGATGACACGAGCAAGTAACTCTTCAGCCAGCTTTGTTGTGAACATATGTACGTTTCACACCGCGAAGGTGACTACAGCACAGACACCAACTACAGCATAGTAACAGATGTTACTTCTTCATTCAAAAATTTACTGAGCACCACATCTGTGCCAGACTCTAGATGCTGAGATGATGGGTGTGAGCTCAGTGTTCTAGCAACGCCTCCCAGACCTAACTTTTCCAGGATTACCCGCCCAAACCAGATTCCTCCACAACCTTCTGCCAAGCCTGTGGATGTGAGAGGAGCCACAGCAAATCTTCTCTGGGTATCTCAGCCCAAAGAGGCCCAGCCACACTCTGGGAGAATAGGCTGTCTATAATATTTGGAAGTTTAAAAAAAGCAAGGTTAGAGTACATCCTTAATGTCCAAAAAGAGTCACATCATTTTTGTCTAATTATTTTATTTTATTTTATTTTCACTGAGTGTCACTTTGTCACCCTGGGTAGAGTGCCATGGCATCATGACTCACAGCAACCTCAAACTCATGGGTTCAAGCGATCCTTTTGCTTCAGCCTCCCAAGTAGTGAGACTACAGGCACCTGCCACAATACCCAGCTAATATTTAAAGATGGGATCTCACTCTAGCTCAGGCTGATCTTGAACTCCCAAGCTCAGGAGATCAACCCACCTCAGCCTCCCAGTGTGCTAGAATTACAGGGATATCTAATGATTTTAACCAAACAAAACATGGCAATGCCCAGCCTTGACTAGGATGTAATAAGTAAAACTGGTGATGTCTTAGGTTTCTGGTGGCAAAGTAGATTTGCAAGGTGCTTTCAAAATTTTGACACTGCATATCTGGTCACCAAAGTCTTCCGATAGCCATCCAATAACCCAAGAATAGGCACAAAAATGATCAGGGACATGTATTTCTAATATTGATAGCTTGGAAGCACGAGGACGATATTTGAGTATTGGGTCAGTCCCCGGCCATCTACAGTCCTGAGAGGGGGCAGCCCAGTCTCCCCTAAGCCTTCCTGGAGACAAGGTGCTCCTGGGTCTCTCCATAATTTGTTCTGACCACGCAGGCAATATCACAGTTGCCTTGATTTAACATTCTTTGTCACATGGCAGCTTCTTTTGCTGCTCAAAAATCACTTTAAAGCGGGGCGGGTGGCTCATGCCTATAATCCTAGCACTCTGGAAGGCCGAGCTGTGTGACTTGCTTTGAGCTCAGGAGTTTGAGACCAGCCTGAGCAAGAGTGAGGCAGGAGGATCGCTTGAGTTTAAGGTTGCTTGTGAGGTATGATGACACAGAACTCCGCCCAGAGCATGGAACTGCCTCGAAAGAAAAAGTGTTTTCAATATAACTTGACAAAAATCACCCCAGTACTACCACAACATAACTATCGATTTTATTCACTTCCAGTTATTTTTCAAAACCACGTGATTTTTCATAGCTCTTATAATTATTAAATTATTATAATTATTGAATTATTCATATAATTTTTCAAAAGCACATAGTTTTTCGTAGCTCTTATGTTTAGAATTCTGGGTCTTATTTTTTAAATGTATTATGAAAGTATATGACTATACAGTTGCCATAACTATTATCTTAATTTTTAATTTCAGATTAATAAGAGGGCACAGATGATTAGGTTACATTGTTAGCGTTTCTATGGCAAAGTCAAGCTGTAGCTGAGCCCTTCATCCACGGGATGTGCTGTGTACGCTTTCCACTGTGCCCATCAGGTGAGAGCTTTTTGATGACTCTATCTGTTCTCTTAAGAGGAAATATACCATCACGTTTATAGAAACACCCCTTTCTGGCAAGATGCGGCGGCTCACACCTGCAATCCCATACTTTGGGAGGCTGAGGCAGGAGAATCCCTTGAGCCCAGGAGTCCAGGTAGCAGTGAGTTATGACTACACCACTGCACTCCAGCATGGGGAACAGAGGGAGACCTTGTCTCTAAAAAAAAAAAAAAATTCCCTTTCAGTAGTGCCCTGGTGTCTTGATGCTGTTGTCATCCATAAGTGTCCTTTGCATGATGTCACTGCCTTGTCCTGTGTGCTGCCTCCAATCTGACCAGTGCTGGAACCAATGTCTGGCTCCTGAGTCCCCCGGCTCCCTCTCCCCCCACCCCTTCCCCTGGGAATTGAGAGGGCCTGAGAATTGCTCACATTTTTAGTTAAGCTTTACAAAGGCAGTTCCCAGCTGCTGCACTGCTCTGATTTGCAAGTACAGGCCATTAAGAAGGCCTCCGGATATGTCCCTTAATGAAAGCCACAGATCTGCTACATTTCAACCCAGAAACAGGGTATGGCTTCCCAGAGCTTCACATTTGCCATTTCCTTTTTTTTTTTGGAGACATGGTTTTAACTTTGTCACCCTCAGTAGAGTGCCATGGGATGTAGCTCAAAGCAACCTCAAACTCTTGGGTTCAGGTGATCCTCTTGCCTCATCCTCCCAAGTAGCTGGGACTACAGGCACTGCCACAACACCCAGCTATTTTTAGAGACAGGGTCTCACTCCTGCTCAGGCTGGTCTCCAACTCCTAAGCTCAGGCGATCCATCTGCCTCCAGCCTTTCGGAGTGCTAGGATTACAGGCATCAGCCACCATACCTGGCCCTTCCATTTTTTTTCAAATAAGTTTTGTTGCTTCTTCACATTCTTAGTGACATTTATATCCTTGGTACCCTAAATTGTTTTGATGCTATTATGAATAGTATCTCTTAATGTAATGTTGTCTGACTTATTTTGTTACTCTGTAGAAATATCATTCATTTATAATATGCCTCTTGTGCTTGACTAAGATTTTATTAATGTAATAGTTATTGAATGAATAATTCATGAATGAATAACGCTGGGGCTTTTGTTTCCTGATTGTTTTCAATACTTATCTTTCTTGTTTTGGTTCCATGCCTTATTGGGTTAGCTGGGGTTCTTAAATTATTGTATATTATGAAATTGACTCTAATATTTCACTACTGTTGGCTGGTTTACAAAAGCTGCTCTTCATCATGAGAAGACCATATGTTTTATTTCTATAACTAAATGTTTTTATTAGGATGAAGTGCTGAATTCTTACGTCCTAATGGAATGATTATACTTTTCCTTTCTTGTTCACCCTGACCATAATGTATTCTGTGCATTTATTTCTAGATATTGAATTATCCTTACATGCCATGAAAACCCCAACTTGATCATTGCAGGTTTTTGAATCAATAGGTTATAGATTTTTATTCTCTAGTATTTTATTCAGTGTGTTCATCTTAGAGTAATAAATGATATCGAGCTAGAGTCTTCTTTCCTTGGGGTCAAGGTGTATCATTTGTGTTAATATTTGCTTCATGGAATACACTCAGTAACATTTTTCTTTTTCTGAGACAATTTATAGGACATGAGAATTACATTGCTTATTTTCTGAAAGCTTGAAAGAACTTGGGGGTGGGGGACGGTGCCTGTGGCTCAAAGGAGTAGGGCACTGCCCCATGCTGGAGGTGGCAGGTTCAAACCCAGACCTGAACAAAAAAAGAACTTGCCAGGGTGCTTGCTTCGGCAGCCCATATACTAAGATTGGAACAATACAGAGAAGACTAGCATGGCCCCTGCGCAAGGATGACTCGCAGATTCATAAAAAAAACTTGCCAGGTTAACACCCTGGAACCAGGAACTTGCAAATCTTCTTGTTTACCACGTGGAATACTTTTGTGTGTTTTTTTGGTTTTTTTAGGGTTTTTTTGCAGTTTTTGGCCAGGGCTGGGCTTGAACCTGCCACCTCCAGCATATGGGGCCAGTGCCTTACTCCTTTGAGCCACAGGCGCTGCCCTGCTTTTGAATTTTTTAATTTACTTTTTTTTTTTTTTTTTGAGACAGAGCCTCAAGCTATCCCCCCCCCACCCCCCGGGTAGAGTGCTATCTGGGCTCAAGCAAGTCTCCTGCCTCCGCCTCCCAAGTAGCTGGAACCACAGGCGCCCGCCACAACGCCCGGCTATTTTTAGGTTGCAGCCGTCATTGTTGTTGGGCTGCCTGGACTGTATTTGAACCCGCCACCTTAGGTGTATGTGGCTGGGGCCTTAGCCACTTGAGCCACAGGCATCGAGCCTTAATTTACATTTTTAATGTGATTAATAAATGTGACTCCACTTCTCCCCATGCCTGAAACCTGTCTGTCCCACCCCTCTCCCTCATGCATTATTAGTTTTTGGAAAGTCTTAAGAAGCCACAGCGAAGTCCTTGACCTTTCACACCGCACTTGGTTTTCATTCTCCGTAAATACTTATTTGTTACGCTGTTTGGGCAGGTGTTTCACACAAGATGTACGATGGCCAATAAATATGAGACCAGATACTTCACATCATTAGTGGCTCCAAAATGCACATTTTGACCATGGTCAGACACCATTTCAGTGATCAGTTTGGCAAGAGTTGAAAGGAGAAAGCATCCTGTGTGTTGGTGACAGAGAGAGAGGAGACGGCGCTCACAGACACTTGCTGGAAGCACCAACGATGTAACTTTCAGAAGGATGATCCGGAGCATCTCCCAGCATGAAATGAACACATGCCTGAAACTCGGCATCTCACCTCAAGAAATTCATCCCACACAAGCACAGCGGCAGGTACACCAAGGAACCTGTGTGTGTCCATCCGGTTATTGGAAGTGGGATAAAAGAATGACAACGATGTGAAATACCCATGTCAGGGGACTGTTTACAGACCCCACAAAACAAAGGCTCACAGACGCAGGAAGGAGCAAGGCAAATCTGTATGCAACTGACTTGGAGAGAGGGCCATGATATATTAAGAAAAAGAAAAACAGTAATCCTAGCACTCTGGGAGGCAGAGGTGGGAGAAACTCTTGAGCTCAGGAGTTCAAAATCAATCTGAGCAAGAGGGAGACTCTGTCTCTCCTAAAAATAGAAAAAGGTAGCCAGACATAGTGGCAGGCACCTGTAGAAAAATTAGCCAGGCCTGGTGTCAGGCACCTGTAGTCCCAGCTTCTTGAGAGGCTGAGGCAAGAAGAACACTTGAACCCAGAAGTTTGAGATTGCTATGAGCTATGACACCATGGTACTCTACCCAGGGTGATAGAGTGAGACTCTGTCACAAAAAAAGAAAGAAGGAAGGGAGAGAGGGAGGAGAGAGAGAAAGCAAGTTAGTTAAAGAATGTTCTCAAATTTTTTGTTGTTGCAGTTTTGGCTGAGGCCAGGCTTGAACCCACCACCCCCAATATATATATTGGGCCGGTGCCCCACTCCTTGAGCCGCAGGCACCGCCCTCAATTTTTTTTTTTTTTTGAGCCATAATATCTCTGTTGCCTGCTAGAGTGCCGTGGCAGCATCCTAGCTCACTGCAACCTCAAACTCCTGGGTTCAAGCAGTCCTCCTGCCTCAGCCTCTCGAAAAGCTGGGACTACAGGTGCCTGACACCAGGCTTGGGTAATTGTTCTATTTTTAGTAGAGATGAGGTCTCACTCTTGCTCAGACTGGTCTCAAACTCAGGACCTCAAGGAATCCTCCTGTGTCGGGCTCCCAGAGTGCTATTATTGTATGTGTGAGCCACTGTGCCTGGCCTCAAGTTTTTTAAAGTACTATGCATGGTGATGTAGGACTAGGGGAAAGATTCTGGAAGGAGGAACACCAAATGGTGAGCAGGCCTAGCTCAGGGGAGGAAGGCTTAGAGGCTGAGGGTGATGGAAAACTCATCTGTCTTGAGATTTGTTACAGTAACCATGTGTTACTTTCATAAGAAAAGCCAATAAAATAAAAAAATTAATAAGGAGAGGTCTTTATTATTCATTCTTTTATCGTCGTAAAGTCTCCAACTTGTATAGCGGTGCATTGAATGCAGAGAATTCTGCCAAGCACAAAATAAGACCAGCAAAAGTCTGACGACTTCATAGTGTTAAATATTACTATCGTTCTCTTCTGTTGTTTCCATGCTCTTCTAATTTGTTTTGTCCTTTTGTGTCATATTTTGTTTCTTGTATATAGGAAATGGTTCAAATCTGATTTTTATCTCATTTGATACTTTTTTTAGTGCTGTTTATACTCATATTAATTATTACCTATTGTCATAATTGCTTTTTGCATGATTTTAGGAATTTCACTTTTTATTTCTTTGCTCTTTCTATATCCTACTTAGACAGGGACGGTGACGAGGTTCCAGTTGATGTAGTAAGTGGTTTACAAGTGGCCGGCAGAGATGTGTCTGATCTTTGCTTTCTTATCTTTTCTGTATCTGGTAAATGACAGATCCTGGTGACACATCAGAATAAGGTCTCATAGCTCATGACACGAAGCGTTTTTCTGTTTAAAATCCTAATCAAATCTCTCCCCGACCTAGATTTTGAGGAGGTGACTCTGTTTGACCTGACTTTGGGGAGCAGGGGAAAAGGGAGGCATGGCAGATGCAGAGGACGGTCAAATGGTGGGAGCCAGAGACCCGCTGGGCAGCCCTGGGTCTCCTTGAAATGGGCTCATCGTTTCCTTCCAGTTTAGTGCGTCTTCTATGGGACTTCTGTGGTTTACACACCGGATTAGGGGTGAAATGGAACCCTGAGTTATGTTTTATCACTCACGAAGCTGTTTCGGTAATTGTATTTTATATTCCATCACATTTCTGAGAGTAAAAAAAAAAAAAATCTCGCCTTGCTGTGCTGCGCTTGTCCCCCAGAGGGCGCGCTACTCCTCTGGTTGGTGTCCATTCCAAGGCGCCGACAGGGCCACATTTTGCGGGGGCTGTGGTCACTCTGTACAAGGACCGCACATATATGCATCTAACCCCCTCTTCTCTTCCGTGGCCTCTCTCTACGCAGAAGCGGGGACGCGAGAGCCTGGGCTCCACTGTCTTGCTTCCCTGTCTCTTCCCAGCAGGGCAGTCCCAGCTGGTCAGCAGAGGGCAGGGTGAAGCTGAGGCTGGGATTTTGGTTCAGAGGCGCTCTCAGACCTGAACTACTCGGTCCACTTTGCCAGAGAGCTCTGCTCTGGGGACTCAAAGCCACACCGGGATGGTAAGACGCGGTGTTCTCCTTTCCTGTTGCCATTGTTGGCCATTGTTGCTTGTGCTGATAACTCCTTCAGGGTCACATTATGACCAAGGACAAATGTACCTCTGGTGTTCTTAACCACACAGCCAGATAATGATGCTTAGACTGACCAGAAGACTGGACCAGCTGAGAGTTGCAGGGACCAGAGGAGGTGACACAGATACTGGTGCTTTTTTCAGTTTTGAGACAGAGTTGGGCTACAGTACTAGGACATCAGCCTAGCTCACAGCAACCTTGAACTCCTGGGTTGAAGTGATCCTCCCGCCTCAGACTCCCAAGCAGCTGGGACTACATGTGCTCACCACAACATCCAGCTAGTTTTTTCTAATTTTAATAAAGATAGGGTCTCCGTCTTCTTGCTCTAGCTGGTCTTGAACTCATGAACTCAAGTAATCCACCCACTTTGGCCTCCCAGAGTGCTAGGATTATAGGCGTGAGCCACTGGACCAGGCCCAGATAATGTATTCTGATTTGAGTATGTACCTGACGTGGGTAAAATACTGTCATTGGAGGGGCCAGGATGAGAGGCTTCTAACTGGAGGGGGGAGTGTAAGCAGACTCTCTGGGGGAAATAGGGTGGGATGGGACGGTAGATCCTCACCTTCATTTGAGGGGCTGTGATCCCCCACATTCAGGGACCCACGTCATGACACCTCTGTATGTAGAGACCTGATACTGGCGTCAAAGGGATTCCCTGACAGGCTGGGGGTTACGTGGGTGGATTCCAGTGGGCGCTACAGGCATGGGAGCTCTGAGGACTCCTTGGTGCTTCTCTCTCCACAGCTATCAGTGAGGCCTGGGCCAGAAGAGAGGCAGCTTCTCCCTCATAAAGAAGAAAACAGACCCCGCAGTCATCCAGAGAAGTAGGGTGTGGCTAGCAGGTCATTCAAAGCTGAGGCCTAGTGATTCAGAGCTGGGAATTCTTTTTATTTTCTTTGAGACAGAATCTTATTATGTTGCCCTCGGTAGAGTGCTGTGGCATCACAGCTCACAGCAACCTCAAACTCCTGGGTTCAAGCAATTCTCTTGCCTCAGCTTCCCAAGTAGCTGGGACTACAGGTGCCCACCACAATGCCCGGCTATTTTTGTTTTTGTTTTTGTTTTTTTGAGACAGAGTTTCACTCAGTCATCCTCGGTAGAGTGCTGTGGCATTGTAGCTGACAGCAACCTCAAACTCTTGTGTTCCAGTGATCCTCTTGCCTCAGCCTCCCAAGGAGCTGGGACTATAGGCTTCTGCCACAACACCCAGCTATTTTTAGAGATGAGGTCTTGCTCTGGCTCAGACTGATCTGGAACTCCTGAGCTCAGGCTGTCCATCCTCCTCGGCCTCCCAGAGGGCTAAGATTATAGGCGTGAGCCACTGAGAGTGTTAGGTCCGAAAATTCTCCCAAACAGCCCCAACAGACGAATCTTGATGTACAGGCATGAGGTGAGGCTTTATTCAGACCCGGGTCTGGACTCTCCTGGCATGCAAGCCTAGGACGAGCCCCGAACCTGGGGTGTGCAAGGTTTTTATGGGGTACAGAAGGCAAAAAGGGTAGGGTCAGGGTACGGGTACACTCCTGATTGGTGGTTGATGATTTCACTAGTAAAGGAGGATTTGGATTG